TCTTTAAGAATCATATTATCAGGAGCTGGATCAATAGCACAGCAGGTAGGGCGTTTTCCTTGCATGCGGCCAACCCGGGTTTGATTCCCCGCATCCCATAAGGTCCCCTGTGCATCGCCAGTGTGACCCAAAAAGAAAAACAAAAAGACAAAACCAAACAAGAATCATATTATCATATTGGGCCTCTGTTTCCAAATACAATCTATCTAATGAGAGGTAGAACGAAAGTTGGTTAGTCAGTATAGATGTTTAGCGCTCTCTCTCAAGTCAGACTATGGCCTATATATATAATAACCCATCAGTGACCAATGCTAATTTTCTTTTCTTGACATTACACAGAGAAGTCATGGGATTTCTTAAAAAGTGCCCTCTGGCCTTTCTTTTCTTTTCTGTTCTTTTCTTTTCCTTTCTTTCTTTCTTTCTTTCTTTCTTTCTTTCTTTCTTTCTTTCTTTCTTTCTTTCTTTCACCATCTATCTCTTTGAAGTTGCGACTGCGCAGTAGCTACAAGAACTGTCTGAGCAGTCTGTAGCCCATAACATTTTGTGGTTTAGAGGCATTGCTGCTTCTGTTTGTTTGTGATCACATGCCTATCTTTTAACTTCACGAAAATGCTGCTTGGTTCCAGTGAGTGAGAGTATTTACTATGAGAATTCCAGTCTTGAGACTCTGTTATTGTCCCAAATGATGTGCTAGAATTGCTTTTCTGGGGTGATTTTGTGCACTGGGGGAAGTAGTTACAGAGGCCTTAATATTACAAATAACTGAAAGATAGCTGTTAGCAAGTTTTTACTGAGGTTTTCACAGTCATATTTAGTACAACTAGCAAGTTTCAAGTTTTCTTATTATGTTACTGCCTCTTTGCCTATTTTCCCCAGTACATCCTGTTTTAATGAATAATTTGAAATCAGTTTCCTATTTCTCTTTTTCTCTGCCACAGTGAAAAAAAAGTGATGTATAGCTAATTGCAAGTACTGGATGAATTTTGGGATATCTGTTAGGAGCCAGCTCTGTTGCTTGGCTTTAACTGGTTATGTATCTGGTTTGTATTTTTTATTGAGTTGCGTATTACCTAGGGCTAAGTATTTAGGGAACTTGAAGATAAAACTTGAGGGCCTTTTGCCCTCAAGAAACTGGTATTTCAGAAGGAACTTAAATTCTACCTGACTGGTACAGTGAGAAGATGCAATGGAGGAAGTACTAGAATGTGCCAAAATGGCCTGTTGTATGCAATTTTGCACTGTCATGCTCACTACTTTTTCTTCTTAGCAAACATCTTGGTTTTATCTACCAATTTGTTTTAATGAGACAATTCTCTTCACTGAGCTTCCCAAAAATATAGCACTGGAAGGAAAATTTATTACTTAATATATCTCTGAGGATTTTCCCACCACTTTTCATTTTGCAAAGTTTGATGAAAACTCTTGTTCTTCAAGACTTCTGCTTCAAGCCCTAACTCTCCCTGGAACACTGTCTTCCTGTGTCTCTTTGCTTGCTTCCTTGCTCTTTCAAGCTCCTGTTCTCACTTGAACATGTGTTCCTTTCCTCCTCCACTGCTTACATACTTTTGTTCAAGTTTTTGTTCAATTTAAAAAATAATAATTGTAATCTTGCTTTACTAAAAAAGCAATAAAAACCCCTCTTGTTCTTTGAAAGAGTTCTGGACATCTACTTATGTCTTTTTGGTTAAATACATAATTTTCCTTTTTAATCTACTTCTTTTGCTTTTTCTTTAGTCTATGTGAGTGCTTGCATACATCCTTTAGCCTTACTTCATCACAATTGATAGGAGTATTAATACTGCAGGAGAAAAGTTTGTCTTTTTCTTGGTAAAAGAATTGTGAGTGGCAGATAGGGACTGTTGGCAAATTTAGCATCAAGGTCTTGCTGGCCTGAGGGCATGCCCACCTGAACACTTGAGAAAGTTTCTTCTGTCTGAAGGGGAGGGAGGAACTGTGGCGCAGTTACAGGTCACTATTTGATTACTGACGCTACCCCCACAACGTTTATTTCCAGTCTCCTGGCACCGTCTTATAAATCACATCTGGGAGCTGAAATCATCTGGCAATATTTAATCATAAATGTTTTCCAGAAGTAGAAGTTTGACTCTTCAATGTTAGTAGTTCTAATCTTCAGAGAGAAAACACAGAATTTAAACATTTTGCCCAGAACTCAAGATGATACCTACAGATTTCTAGCAGACAACGACATACTGGCAGAGTTTCTGATAACGAAGTAGTTCCTGTTTTATTTTTTTTTTTTCTCAGAAAAGATTGGGAACATTTCTGAGGCTATCACTGACTTCTCTCTTCCTCAGCTTTGATCTGCTTTCTGAAAGTAAACCACTTGCTTTTTGTGTTTCTTTGTAAAGAATTTTGTGGAGGACTTTAGAGAAGTGGGTATGAGGTCTCAGTAGAGTTCACTTGAGGTGAATGGAGCTATTTAAATTACCCAGTGATGTTCTCCCTTCCACTCTCAAACTCTAAGAAAAGGATTGTCTCACATGCTGGTGGATTTTGCGTGTGATACCATGACCATAGTGAAACAGGCATTCAGTTGTGCCTGCAGAAAGGATGAGTTTACATTGTTAGTATGAGAAGGCACATAACAGTGTGATGTACATCAAGCAAAGTGCTCCAGAGCTGTGTTCTTGGGTGCATGTGACCCATAGCTTATCTCTGTGGTAAATTAGCTGGCTGGGGTGAAAACGAGTCTCAGCCTGCCTCTTGTATCAGAGAACCAGACCAGCAGCCTTCACTGCCTCATAGTTAATATCTGGAAAGTGATGAAAGTTTCCCAATTGGCAGTTTCTCTCTGTTTTTCCCCTTCCTGTCCTTACTTGGTCATCCTTGTGACTCAGTAAGCAATGATCTTTTACTTATTCACAGGAAACCATGCGCCACACTCCAGAACCCAACTATCTTTTCATCCCCAGTCTGCTCTATACAGCGCCAGTTAAAGAAGTGGAAGAGAGTGCACAGCCTGTTTGTTTTCTGGTTCTGTTCTGTTTATTTAGATTATTGTGGTGATAGGCTCAGGAGATACTGTATATTAGCTGGAGATTGCTTTTGATTCTTCAAGACCAAAGCATTTTGTTATTGGCGCTTATTAAAAGTTCTTCCTCTTTTTCCTCTAAGATAATATTTCTCTTTTTAAAACCAACTTTTATATCTCTTATCAAAAAGTCATTTGGCAGATAATGGACGTTGGTTTCTATCATGTGCTTCAGACATGTGATTGTAACACTTGAAGGGAAACGTTCTGCTTGATTTGAGCCTTCAAACTAAGATAACCTTTAGTCAAGAGACAGACCTTCTGAGTAGTCTTTTTGCATATGTGCCTGCCATTTATTTCACTCATTGACATTCATATACGTATATATCCATATACCAAGAACTAGTTACTGTAATATTTTATGCAGTCTAGAGTTACAATGTTTGATTTTCAGTCATTTATATACAGAGAGAGACTATTATATTGCTTGTTGCAGTAAAGAACAGAAAAAAGAGAATCTTGCACCACCAAAGATGAGCTGCTTCATAGTCTAATACATTATGTAAATGGTTCAGCCAGAAGTAGCTTAGAAGTGAACTTTTTAACTCCTAGTTAGCTCAAACTTACTGAGAACAAGTAAGTTATAAGACCGCTGTCTTCTCTGAGCACTGGAGAATGTTTAATCATCTCAGTGATTAAACCTGGCCTTTCATCTCCTTGCCTATAAGCAAAAAGAAAATTTGTAATACAGAAATATAGAGTGAAATAGAAATCTATGAAAATATCAAATATGAAAGCAAAATGCTACATAGTTATAGACTAAATCTAAATGTTTACAACAGAAATTGACATTTTATCTCAGAATTGGAATTTATTGTCATAAATACTTAGAGTAAAATTTTAGACTCGCATTGATCCCTATTCGTCAGATGTAATGCTTTTAGCACTCTTTAGTGTCATCTTATAAACATGAGTATAGTTTGCTTTAAGAGTCTGAAGAGTTAACACAGGCGTGAAGGCTAGTGCTTTGCATGTAGCTGACTGCAATTTGATCCCTGGCATGATCTATCTCCCAAGCATTACTGGGTACAGCCGTGGAGACCCTAAACACCACTGGGATAGCTGTTCTGCATCATACCCACACTACATGGCCCAAGCAGCTATGCATTGAGCCATTGGCCTGATTTGGCTGAGAATAGCTGGGTGGGACCCCAAGGACGAGAACCGCTTGAGAGTCCAACAGTATAAACATTTGCATGTACATATATATAGTTGCTTTGAAATAATAAGCATAGTAGAAAATACAATGAGAGGAAACAACTAGGAAGTCTCATCAAAATTATACTCAGATGAAGGGTTCAGAATTGTAACTCAGTGGCCCATGAAATTTTAAAAAAAACTGGTTTTAACACATAAATCTGTAATAAAATAATGTAAAATTCCACTGTGCTTAATATGTATTAGTATTTATTTGCACAAGTATATACACAATCTGTCACTGGATAAAGTAAATGCAAGTGTTTCCGATTTTCAGTTATTTGAGAAAGCAGCATGCTTTAATATTGAATATATGTAGATGCTGTCTGTTTCTATGTAGGAATGTGCTTATCACACTAACTTAGAAGTGTAACTTCAGAAAAATCTATGAATACCCTTATAAATGCCCTGTAAGAAATAACAAAGAATCCACATGAATGTCTATAGTACCGCCTATATTCAAATCCACAAACCTTCTGTAAATCAAAGGAGGTAATTCAGCCTGTAGTGTTATTTGAGCAACGAGCAATAAAGACTGTGAAAGCATTTTCCCCCCACCTTAGAAGTAGGTGATAGTGCTGCACACAAGACTCTCCCTAAAGGCAAGAATTCTGTCTCTTAGATGTGTGTTCTAAGGTACCACTGGGTAAATGCTACAAAATGGGTACTCCAAAACAACTGTGGCTATTTTTTTTAGTAGTGTCTCTGGAGTCTGAAACTTAAATTTAAAACTGTTTCTTTGCCTGAGCAGGGAGAAGATCCAATTTATAAGAACTGAAGGGACTCCAGGATTGGTGCGCCTTTCAAGTGATGCAGACCTTGTTATGTTGCTAAGGTATGTAATGCTAGGTCTTGAAGTCGATAGTTTCCTTTCATCAGCTATTATGGAACTGCGGAGGGAATATGGGATATCAGTGTTGGTTTTTCATTTTTTCATTTCATCATCCTGTTATTCGTCGATTGCCTCGAGCAGGCCCCAGTAATGTCTCTTTCATCCTAGCCCTGAGATTATATTCAAGGCTCTTTAGGAGAATGAGACCCATCAATGTTGGTAACTGAAAAAATTATCTTTATTCTTAAAACCTTGTGCAATATTCATGTTGAAACTATAGTCTACTTTTTTTTGTTTTGTTTTGCTTTTTGGGTCACACCCAGCGATGCACAGGGGTTACTCTTGGCTCTGCACTCAGGAATTACTCCTGGCAGTGCTCAGGGGACCATATGGGGTGCTGGGAATAGAACCCAGGTCGGCCACGTGCAAGGCAAACACCCTACCTGCTGTGCTATCGCTTCAGCCCCTATAGTCTACTGTTTTAGCAATATTTCATTTCAGATCCTATTTCTTACCAGTTAAATATATTTGATATTATTCTTACCCTGCTGGTAAAACTGATGATATTAAAGAAGGGGAGTATTTATAAAATGCCAGTGAATAGAACATCCCACTCTCAGAATAGAATAGCTTGTTTAGATCTGGCTTACCTCTTCAGAGTAGAAGAGTGGGCCTATTATTTTTTCATTGTTATTATGTTTTCATTGTTTTTTCTCAAAATGAAAAAATTTTGAGAAATTCAACAGCATTTATATAAGATAGTATTCATTCACTTTATGGTTTGGGAGTTTTTATTTGGGAAACCGGGTCAGAAAGTTGAAATTTGTTCACTGGTACTTTCTGCCAACTTTAGATACCCCTTCATAAATCTTCTCTCCTGATGGTAAGATCAACTTTGGTTTTAAGTGCTAAACTAGTTTAGAAGGGAAGCTGGCAGGTATTCAAAAGTCTTCATCATTTTCAATGTTGTCTTTCAAATGTAGGATACCAGGGTAAAGTAATTCTTTGTTCTAACTTACCACTATAATCTCCACAGAATTAAATGGAATGGAATGCTGAGCCAATGTTTTATTTGAGAATGTAGACCCAAAGTGCTAACAGTATTATTCATATTATTCATGACAATCTTGATTCCAGTTTTAACTGCCCACCTCATAGTTGCCATATTTATAAAACCAAAACCAAAACGTTTCTTTTCATTACTGTGTAGGAGCATAATTCAAAGGGATTTAGTCACTTTCCACATATGCTTCATTTCACTTCGTACTGTACAAGATCTGCCTGTGAGGGAGTCACTTTTCTGTCTCCTGGTCGTCCTCAAAAAGTATCCTTGTATTTTTTTTAAAGCAGGATATAATGTGCTCAATGGCTGGCCTAAGAATCTCTGTCAATTAACATGAACATGTACTTTTATTATGGTTTTGTCAATCATAAAATAGTGCATTTTACTACAAGATACTGGCGAGGCTATGAAATCTAAGGTTTCATAGTCTAAGAAATCTTGACATTTTCAAAATCTAAGTTTCTGGGAATCTACTCTTTTCATTGAAATCAAAGAATTCTGCTTTTGGAATCAATAAAAAAATTATTGTAAATCATACGCCAGAGTTATTTAGCTATTCTTAGTTAAATAATCTCCACATAGTAATGACACAATACAGTTTACAGTAGTTTACTATGGAAAACATTATTTTCATGAGTTTCTGTCTTTCATGCAGTTGACTTAAAAACAAAATTTGAGGGCTAGGCATCTTCCTTTGTATGCACTTAACCCGGGTTCAGCTCCAGCACCAGATCCCATATGGTACCTCAGACATGGCACAGAATGATCCCTGAACACAGAGCCAGGAGTATTTCATGAACACAGCTGGGTGTGATCCCAAAACAAAACAAAATTTGAAAGTTTATTTATGTATAAGAACAAGTCTGTGTTTTACTTTGCTTTGGAAATTATGCTTGTTCACTGAAGTTAATGGGCCTTTAGAGAAGTGTGAGAAATTCACTTACTCATAATAGTTCTTTAATTATTACTCAAAAATCTTGCCATCCATTTCTAGATTTTCATTTGAATTACTAGATATATTTATTATCTTAAAATTGTGCACATTAGTACAATGTATTACATGTGCAGTTTAATACAAATTAGATACATATCAGGACTTCATCCTCATTTGTTTTACTTTGATGTTTGAATTATTTAAATCAGTGACTATACTATATATATATACATATATACATATGTATACATACATAAATGCCCATACAGAATGTGTGTATGTGTCTACATATATTTATAAGATATGCATGTGTATTTGTTTGAAATAAAAAGAATTTTAAACAAATGGATTTTGGGAGTTGGAATAGGAGCTTGCTCCATCCACTCCACAAAGAAAATAATAATAATAAACATATAAACATCCTGGCCTCTACCAACTGGAAGTCAAACCAGTCTCTCTCCTAGTTACGATCATTTATCTATTATTTGCAATGAAATGTGGACTGTACTTTGTATGTTTATTATTAGTTCTCAATGATCGTTCTCCGTCATGTGTGAATCTTATACCCAAATCGAAAAAACTGGGTAGTAGGCCAGAGAGCGTGTAGGAGGTAAGGCATTTGCCTTGCTTGCAGTCAATCTTGGTTCGATCCCTGGTACCACAAACAGTCTTCAGAGCACAGAGGCAGTGCTAGGTATGGACCAAAACCAAACAAAATACTGTTTTCAAGTCATCATGTAAACACATAGAACCAAGTGATAAAGTGTAAATCGCGTTTTCTGAAGTTGGTAGGAAAACAGACAAGAACCCACAGGTTTCCCAAAAGCTGCAATGACAGTCGTTTCATCCTGTGGACCATGAGCACGAGGAGAGGTGCTTCTCAGGGAGGGAAATGACCTCAGGTAGAATGGATCAGAGTGAGAGACCAGCTGGCTTACTGTGGAAATAGGACTTTTCCCCACCTCTCTGGCTAAGGTATGCATTTTGTTTCTTGTTTTTCCCTAGTTTATTTGAAGAAGAGATAATGTCATATGTGCCTCCACATGCCTTACTCCACCCCAGCTACTGTCAGTCCCCACGCGGCTCCCCCGTGTCCTCTCCGCAGAACTCACCAGGTGAGTCCACCTGCTGTTGGCAAGGGAATTCTCAAAAGAGTCATCCCTAAGGTCAGATCAGTGACAGTTCAAAGAACATTCTGGGTATGTCTTTCATATTAGCACAGTTTATCTGTTGTGTGGCATTTTCTGTCTCCTAAAAAGGGCTGGAGCGATAGCACAGCGGACAGGGCGTTCGCCTTACAAGCGGCCAACATGGCCGACCCGAGTTCGATTCCTCCGCCCCTCTCGGAGAGCCCGGCAAGCTACCGAGAGTATTCGATATGCCAGACACAGTAACAACAAAGTCTCCAATGGAGACGTTACTGGGCCCGCTCGAGCAAATCGACGATCAACGGGAGGGCCTTTACCTTTACCTTTTAAAATTGGCTTGTAACTATTGAGATTTATTTTGATGGGAAGATTATGATGTTTCAGACTAGGAGAATAAATGTTAGCTTTGTGACAGCAATTGAAAATGAAATTTACCTTTCATTATACTGTGTAGTGCTTCATATTGGAAAATATTAGGGCATGAATTGCCATGTTAGCTTTTTGGATTTAGAACACTCTAGTTAGGAGATTATTTCAACAAATGCTTAAAAGAAATCCTCGCAAGAAATAATGTAGAATTAAGATTAGTCACATTAATGGACTTGGATAGTTTTCCCCTGAAACAGCTGCTAAGTTTGTTAGATAGGAATTTTAAAATGCCTGGGTTGATATATTATGTTTATAGATGAAACACTAAATATTTAAGCTCAAATTCTTTTTGAAATAGGTATGTGTGAATGAAAGTAAATGGATGAATAAATTAATAGTAGAAAATACAGTTTGGCAAATGATTTTAAAGGAAAATAGTCATATATTGATGGAATATCATGCTATATTTATTCATTTATAGTCAGTATATTGTTCACACTTTAATAGCTGTTGGAATTTAAAACTATTTTAATAGAAATTCAGACTCTATATGTGTCATTAAAAGCTGCTGCTTATTCTTTGATATATGCATATGTTTTCATATGTTGTTCTGATAATGAAGCTAAAGCCTAATTAATACTACAAACAGGAAAAGGTCTATTAATTTGTTCATTTAGCACATATTTATTGAGCATCCAACTATGACCCAAGCAGTGAATTAGACCCTGTGAATAATCCAGTATCTGCCTTTGAAGGATTCATGGTGGGGCAGTGAGTCAACAAATGACTCTATAAAACCCTGTGGTTAGTATTGTAATAAAGAGATGTATGGGAACCCAGCTGTGGGAACAGTTCTGCCTTCATGACGGGGGTGAGGTGTTAGGAGATAGATGAAGGTAGTCCTCTACCTATAAGGGGGGGGTCTGTAATGATGATGAAAAGGAGTTGCTAGATAGGCCAAAGGAAGAATGACATTCTAGCTACAGGGATAGCAGAGGTACTAGAAGCAGGAGTTGGCATAGAACAAATTTTCAGCTTGAGTGAAGGAAAGTTTCCAAGGCTTGTAATCTATTGAATCCCTGCTTTGTAGTTCGTGTGGAGCCGAGCCCTCCACATTTACAAACAGAGAAATATACTGCTTTAGAAAGATAAGTTTGGAAACAATATATAGGGCATAGAAAACAGGAGACTTCAAAAGAGAAACCACTGGTGGGCTATTGCATTAACCCAGGTAACACCATAAAATACCAGACTAGTAATGATGGAGAAAAGAGAATTCAAAGGTTATGTAGGGTCAAAGACACTAGGACCTTGCATTCAAGTATCGAAGAATCAAGGTATATTTTGAGGCTCTCAAAACCTAAACTATGAAGCAGTGAGTAACACTCTTCACTAAGAGGTAAAAAGATCAGAGGGTAGAGGGATTTATTTATTTTATTTGGGGGCATATTTTGTTGAGGAATCTTTGCATTATCCAACTGGAGATACCTAAAGACTACTAAGAAAGAAGTCATGGATTTCAAGAAAGGTTGATAGGTAGAAAAACAGAAATGATGGTAGCCATTGAGGTCTATCATAGAGACTAGAGGAACTAAGAAGGTCAGGGTCCGTGAGGGGAGGGGGGGGGAATAGAGCAGCAGTCCCAAAGTGGATAACAGTGGAAGGGGGATTGTACTAGAATGATCTAGAATGATCCACTTGGTGGTGGGTGGGGGCAGTATCCTATGGATTATTTTCTGTTTGTTCACTAAAAAAAGATTAGTTTCCAAGGGGCCACTGAGGGGCCCTTAGAGAAGTAGGTAAGAAACTTGCTTTGCTTGCAGCCAACCGTGGTTCTGTGGTTCTAATCTCTGGCACTGTATCAGTCATCTATATGCTGACAACGGTCACTTCTGAGCACAGAGCCAGGAATGGCCCTCGGCATTGCCAGGTATACCCCTGGACATTGCCAGATATGGCACAGAAATGAAAGAAAAAAAAAACAATCATAAAATCAAGAGGGCACTGATTAATTTTTTTTTAAGACAGTGGCAGGCCAGTTAAGTCTGGGAATCTCTAAAGAATGGTGATATAGAAACTCTTATTTACTTAAGGGACGGACTGAGGTAGAGTAACTAGGGAAAGACAACACACCAATGAATTCTGTAAGAGAATTGGGAAAGTGTTTTTAGAGAAGCCAGGTTTTAAGAAAAAGTAGTAAATAGCACCAAATGTGTAAAGGATTTAGGAAGAGTAGGACCTGAGAAGAAGTCATCTGATTTGAGAAACATGAAGTTACAGGTGATATTTGTTCCTAGAGGTTTCCATAGAATAATAGGTATTAAACTGGAATGTGATCAGCTATAGAATATAAGATGTAAATCAGATGCCAGGAATTGTGATTTTTTTCCTAAATATGGGATTGAGAACTAGAGAGATTGAACTGCTGGCCCAATTGGCTGAGAATCACTGAGGGTCCTCTGTGCCTCCTGAGCATAACTTGGGAAAGTCCCTTCCCCTTAAACAAATAAAAGAAATATGGAAGTGAAAAGAAAGTAGAGTAGAACAATGCATAGAAGGAGAAGCAGCTTTAAGAAAGGAACTTTTGTATGGGGAAGTTGAGATGTATGTGTACAGAGGTCAGAAGCTCTGGCTTTGTTAAACCGGAAAGTGGCCTGTTAAATGGGACAAAGAAGCAATAAGGAGTGTAGCACAGACCTCTGCAGAGGTGACCCTGGAAGCAATCACATGGGTCAACTTTGGTAAACCATCGTAGGGAGACACTTTTTGGTTGATACAGGATGAAAAGTGTTAATATATGAGACTACAGATAAGTTTAAAGGTATAGGGGCAAAGCGAGCACTCCATAACTGGAAGCCTGCCTCATGAGCAAAGGGGAGAAGGCAGCTGGAATAGAGAAGGGATCACTAAGAAAATGATGGCTGGAGAAACCGGTCAGGATGGGAGATGTGTGCTGAAAGTAGATAATGGACCAAACATGATAACCTCTCAGTATCTGCATTGCAAACCATAATGCCCAAAAGTAGAGAGAGAGAGTATGGGGAATATTGTCTGCCATGGAGGCAGGGGGAGGGTGGGAAAGGGAGGGTATCCGGGGATATTGGTGGTGGGGAATGTGCACTGGTGGAGGGATGGGTGTTTAATCATTGTGTGATTGTAACCCAAACATGAAAGCTTGTAACTATCTCATGGTGATTCAATAAAACTTTAAAAAATAATAATAAAAGGTGTAGGGGCAAGGAAATGATGGAATTTTCCACTCTCCATGGCCATTTACCAAGTATATAACTGTGGGCAATGCATTTCTTGTTTTCTGTAAAATGGAGATAATAATCACCTCCATAGGTATTTGGAGGAGAGCACCTATCCTGGTACCTTGAACATAGCAGGCACCCAATAATTCACTTAATCACTTAACTTCCCGTTAGTCGTCGATTTGTTCAAACAGGCGCCAGTAACGTCTCCATTTGTCCCTGTCGCGTGCTAGTGTAGCCCAATGGCATCTGTTCGCTCTGGGAACATGAAGGGCCTCAAACCGATCGTTCATGATCTTGAGGAAGAAGTCTGACCATCTGGTAGGTGGGCGGCCACGCGGTCTTTTGACATCCCGTGGAATCCAGTCGGTAACAGCTCTAGTCCAGCGGTCATCTTTAAATCTCATTACGTGACCAGCCCATCTGATTTTCGACACCTTGGCAAATGAGACAGCGTCCCTGATTCTTGATCGTCGACGGATGTCAGAACTCCGGATTCTTTCTCTCATTTGAGTGAAACGTGATATTCCAAGCATAGCTCTTTCTATTCTTCTTTGGGAGACCTGAATAGTGTTCTCATCTGGTTTGCGTAGGGCCCAGGTCTCTGAGGCATATGTTAATGCAGGAAGAACAGTGGAATCAAAGAGATGTGCCTGGAGCCGGAGGTTCTTCGTCCTCTTAGCTATTTCTTCGACGTTCTTGAAGGCGTTCCAAGCTGCTCTCTTCCTCCTGCGCAGCTCGGGTGCCAGGTCATTTGTCATGTTGACCTCTCGACCTAGGCACACATAGCTGTTGCATTCGGAGATGGTCGTCTCGTTGAGAGCAAATGGGGCATCAGGAACGAGGCTGTTTCTCATAAACATTGTCTTCGTAAGATTCAGCTGTAGTCCTACCTTTCCACACTCACGGTCAAAGTCGGCCAGCATTTGTGCCGCTTGGCTGATGTTTGGTGTTATTAAAACAATGTCATCAGCAAAGCGGAGGTGGTGTAGTTGCCGACCATCTATCTTCACTTCCATTCCTTCCCATTCCAGTCGTCGCATGATGTTCTCGAGGGTGGCACTGAAGAGTTTCGGTGAAATGGTATCACCCTGCCGCACCCCTCTCTTGACGTCAACGATCACTTCTTTGTAGAATAGTGAGATCCTGGTAGTGAATCCGCAATACAGTTCACGGAGGATCCTGATGTATTGGGCTTGAATGCCCTGATTGGCTAGGGCTTCAATGACCGCTTCCGTCTCAACAGAATCAAAGGCCTTCTTTAAATCAATGAACGTTAAACAGAGCGGCATCTTGAACTCCCGAGAAACCTCCATGAGCTTGGTTATTGTGTGGATATGGTCG